CTTCGCCGTTAGCAAGTGGTTCCGTTATCTCGCATTCGCGAGCCATGAAAGCGGGAGATGCTATGGGGTTGCAAAGTGGACTACCTTGTCCAAAGACGACGTCCGCACATTTTATGACAGCTGGAACGTGCCTTCAAGCTCAAAGTAGTATTAGCTGTTGGCGGATCACTTGGCAGTGGGCCAATTGTGGCGAGAAACAGCAGCTAACAAAACAAATCTGGTGCCAGGGTACATCGTTGTTGGGGTATCCCCGGCGGGGAGGGGTCGTATTTGGGCTGAGAAAAATTTATTTTGATAGTTGATTTTCTCGCTTCACGAACGTGGTGAGAGGGGGTCGTACTTGCTCATTGTTGGGGGGAGGGTCCTAATTACTTTCTGGCCTTCTGGGAAGGGCAGGAACTTGGGGAAAACCTGAGAATTGGTAGAAGGAGGAGGTCTTTTTCCCGTTTACATGTGCTATTTGCCCGGCCTCGACAGCTGGATGAGGAGGGCGAGGGCCAGAGGGGTGGAGGTCGTACCAACCTCCAAAAAAAAACGGGGGGTCGTGCGGACTCGACCAAAATCCCCAACCAGTGATGTGCCCTGTCAAGTGCAGTTGCACTGCTTCATTGCGGAGATCCTCGCGGATTAGAGATTGGATATCTTCAATAAATCCAACTCTCGCGGTCTTTGAAGATTTTTGGGCTTCGTTCGGCCTTTTGTGCCTCCAAATCAGGAAAATCTGGCCATTTCTTGAAGACGTGTATATCCTGGGTCAAAAAGGCTCACCTATACCTCCTCGCAACTCTGCAAGAATTTGCAGAATTAAGTGAAGTATAACCGGTTGATCAACATGAACTATAAGCAAAAGGAATAAATGAAATGCGAAATGTCCCTCCTAAGCCGAACAGTGCCAATTTTTTATGCCAATGCAAATAATGGAACACCCAGCCGTGTAGTGCTAACAATGCGAAGTGTTGTTTTAACTAGAAGTTGCTCTTTTCAGGATTTCCGAGATCCCAGCGTGCAACCAGTTATCGTTGAGAAATGCGACGTCTACTTCCATCGTGAAGTAATTCCTGACTGGTCAAAGAATTCAGACACTATTGGAGAGCTCTTCGTCGGTTTCCTCGACTATTATGCACGATTCGATTTTAGCACGCAGGTTTGTATCTATACTCGAAATCCCTGAGATCGGGTAGGCGTGGCCGCAGTTTCAACTTAACCTGAAGGCTATGCTTCTGGTGAGATATTTTCATCTTGACACAACTGTTGTCTGCCTCTGTCCAACCCAGAACAAGATGACAGTTGTCCCAGACTGGAATATTCCACGAGTAACCAGTTCCGTGCCATGTTCAAATGCCACGCCTACTCTGGCTCAGGGATAAGGGTTTATATTTGGATCAGTAATGTTGATTCATGAGCTTCCCTCTTCGTCCATTTGCAATCTTCTATTTTGACTGGCGGTTACTGTATGACTTTTGAAAATCTAAACCTCTTTATTAGCTCTTCTACTTGAAAAATTTGTAAAAGTACTGTAATTTTGTTATGTCGACCGCAAGTTTGAGCAGAAATTGAATACCCTGTATTTCAGGGCGTAGCTTTTGTGAGCATTAAAACTCTATTTTTTCACAATAGCGCTGAAAAAGGCCTCATTCAGAGCGATTTGCGCAGGCTTAGTGAGTTGTCCGAGAAATTGAGGGAAATATCAGCCGGAGCTTTGATAGTGTCATAGCGGGGCGGTCAGATCCACTGGGGTTCTTTGTGAGGAATCTATGTATTCAATTTATCTAGATAGTTTAGCATATGATTAGCATATATCACATAACAGCCTATGCCCCACAAAGCGGTTGTGACGACGTAGAGAAGGAACAGTTCTGGACTGAACTACAGGATCACATTGCAGCAGTCCCTGAGAGCGAAGCAATCCTGCTTTGTGGCGACCTAAATGGCCACGTTGGTAGCGCTCAGAATGGTTACAACTGCCATGGCAACAACGGATACGGGATACGAAACGAAGACGGACGGCGTATTCTAGAATTCGCTGAGGCCAATGATATCAATAACACATTCTTCAAGAAGCGTGAAAGTCACCTAGTTACATATGCAAGCGGTGGGCAGAAAAGTCAAATAGACTTCGTGTTGGTCCGCAGGCGAGATCTTTGTTCCATCAGTGATGCGAAGGTCATCCCCTCAGACTGCCTGGCACCACAACACAAGATGCTCGTTGTGGATACGAAGGTAATCAGGCGTAGAAGCGACACCGGCCGGTCTATGGGACCAGAGCGAATCAAGTGGTGGAAACTGCGGGGACAGGAAGCGACAATTGCCCGCGCGTGCAGCTTACCTCCAGCCGATGGCAGGCCGGTCGACGACTTGTGGACAACGTTTAGCAGATCCGTTACGACTGCTGCTAAATCTGCTTTAGGAATTACGAAACCCGGTCGACGTATTGACAAACAAACGTGGCTGTGGACGGAAGAAGTGAAGCAGAAAGTGATGGAAAAGAAGGCTGCCTACAAAACCTGGCTTACGCATAAAACTGCCGAGAACTGGAGGAAGTATACCACCGCTAGAAGAGAGGCAAAGAGGTCTGTGGCCGTAGCCAAAGCGGAACATTTCCGGGGCCTATACGATCAGCTAGGTACCAAGGAAGGTGAGAAAAACATCTACAGACTGGCGAAAGCACGGGCCCAAGCAGCGAAGGACGTTGAGCACTACATGTGCGTGAAGGATTCCAATGGAGAGCGGCTGCATAGTAGACGAAAGATACTGCATCGCTGGTGGGAACATTTCAACGAGATTTCCAACGTGGAGTTCGCACACCCGCCAATTCCAGAAGGTCCGCCAACCGCCGGTCCAGTGCAACGCATCACAGTCGAAGAGGTTACCAAGGCGATCGACAGCATGAAGAACAAAAAGCGCCAGGGCCAGACAACATACCGGCAGAAGTCTGGAAAATGAAGGAGATGCGAGAAAGTGGTATTCCGTGGCTCACACAGTTCATAAATGCAATTGTTGATTCAGGCCGGGCACCCAGTGAATGGGCTACGAGCATTACTGTGCCGATCTTCAAGAACAAGGAGATCCGGCCGAGTGCTCTAATTACCGCCCTATACGCTTGCTTTCGCACACCATGAAGATCTTCGAGCGAATCCTCGATCAACGGTTGCGCGACATCATCGATTTGAGCAACAACCAGTGCGGTTTCGTGAAAGGACGAGGAACAACCGATGCAATTTTTGCCGCTCGCTCACTCATGGAGAAGCATCGGGAAAAGCGGAAACCACTTCATATAGCTTTCTTGGATCTCGAGAAAGCTTACGATCGCGTTCCCCACCAACTAATCTGGTATGCGCTACGCGAGCATGGAGTGCCCGAAGCACTTATCAGGATTCGAATGCTGTATATGAACACCACCAGTCGAGTCCGATGTGCTGCGGGTTTATCTAAGAGCTTTCCAATAAAAGTTGGAGTTCACCAAGGTTCGGCCCTCTCGCCATTGCTGTTTATCCTCATCATGGACACACTCACACGAGATCTGCAACACGCTGCTCCATGGACTTTGCTCTATGCTGACGATGTTCTTCTAGCGGATGTCAGTAGGGAGGAATTGCAGCGTCAAGTACAAGCATGGAGTGACCGTCTAAGCCAGTATGGCCTTCGTCTCAACATCAGGAAAACGGAATACTTGGAAACCGACCCTAGCGAAGGCACGATTAAAGTCAAGGCGAAGACTTACCGATGACGATGTCTTTTAGGTACCTAGGGTCCCGCTTGCAGAGTACAGGAGGTGTCGATGATGAGATACGAATGAGAGTCAACGCGGCATGGATGAGATGGAGAGGAGATCACTGGCGTGCTATGTGATAAGCGCATGCCTCTTCGCCTGAAGTCAAAGATATACCGGACCATGGTTCGACCCGTGGCACTGTACGGATCCGAATGCTGGCCAGCTACCAAAAGTGCTGAGCGCCAACTCCACGCCATGCAAATGCGAATGCTGCGGATGTCAATTGGCATTTCACGACTCGACAGAATTGAGCTAGCGACGTGATTTCGATTGCAGATGCTGGGCTGTCGCCCGATCGCCGAGGAGATGCAAGAGAGGCGGCTTCAGTGGTATGGGCACGTTCTGCGAACAGAGCGTGATACCATCGCTGCTCTTGCATATCGACTCGAAGTTGATGGTCAACGCTGCCGAGAATATAAGAAAAGCTCGAACTGCGGTCAAAGACACGTGGGAGGAAAGAAGCCACTACTAAAATGCGACCCGGACAATCTAAAGTGATAATCACCGTCCCCGATGGAGAGCACAAAGAGAGAGAAGACAAAAACAAATGCAAAGGGCATTGAAGCAGAAGAGTGGGCGGTCGCGATAAGTTCCGCTAGAAAGTAAGACAAGGGACCCGTAGCTACGCAGTGCGACAACGCATTACGCAGAGATAGAAGAAGGAGAAGAAGAGAGGAAGTTTGCAATAATTATTTAGGGTATTTTTTCCGTCGCTGCCAATGAGAGCTTTCTAAAACTAATATTTTGGCTCATATACTATCTTATAGAGAAAAGAAAGCTCTTTCGAATAACAATAAAACAATATGCCAAAACACTATTTTCACGCGCCAATTCAAATTGAAAAAACGGCCATTACTTATTAGCCAACCCAATAGATATAAGCGGTTTACTTTTTGCAGAAAGAGACAAGAAAAGACTTTCATGGTTTCCATAAAAGTAATAAATTGGAAAAAAATTAAAAGAAAAAAAAATACTATTAGTAAGTCCCCGGGAAAAGACACGCACTTGCCTCTTTTCTAGCACTGTTTTTACTTTTTTAGAATTCAGTCAATTTTTTCAGTCAAACTAGCAATTTTTATTGTTATTAGCTTTGATTGCTTCATGCACCCCGTCTTTTTTGTCTATCTCAATTATACTGAGTACACTTAAATTCAACAGGTAGTGCAAATTCGTCGCAAGAAGCCGTTGCTTAAAATGGAGAAAGGCTGGTATCATTTGATATGCATAGAAAATCCTTTTGATCTCCATCTTAACCTGGGATCAGGTGTCTCAGAAAAAAGTAAGTCGCTTGTTGTCCTCAGCCTGTGTAGTATTCTGATTTATGTAATCATTCTCTAGTCTTAACTTGAAATAAGTGCCGCTTTTATCCCAGAATGCCAAACCACAGTCTTCTTCGCTGCAAATGCTAAGGTATGTCAGGAGGACGAGGTGTGGCATGACGCCAGCCCGTTTCGCATATGTTGTTTGTCATTCAGGGATAAAAGCGGCACTTATTTCAAGTTAAGACTAGAGAATGATTACATAAATCAAAATACTACACAGGTTGAGAACAACAAGCGACTTACTTTTTTCTGAGACACCTGATCCCAGGTTATAGATGGA